CAGTGTGTCAGCGCTCAGGAAAAGCCTGGGGATGATCGGACCATCTCATGAAGGATTTTGCAGCAGATGGTTCGCTGCCTGGTCGAGGTGAGCGGTGATTCTCCCTGTCCTTGTCTCTGACCTAGTGTCATCCTTTCCCAGTAAGGAGGGCAGCTGAAGGACAGTGATTTTTCTTACTAGAGCTTGTCCTTGGAGCAGGAAACCAGCAGGCTCACCCAGCCCAGGCTGTAAGAATGCTTTCACTTCCAGACCTGTATTATTAAATCAGGATTGGTTGTGACATGTTGATGACCCTAAGTCAAATGAAGTGCTCTTTAGAGGTATAATCAGCTCCTGCTGTCTAATCATCTATCTCCATTCATTCTTTACAACTACACATTTTACATCTTTGTTGCATAACAGATTCACAGCTTTGTTCAGAGGATGTTGGCTTTGGGAGGTTTTAGTTAGGTTTTAATTGGGCCACCCTAAGCCATAACATTTAGAAATTTTCTTATCAAGAGGCATTCCCCAATATTGTTTCAGAGAAATGTTTCATTTGAGATAGACCAGAGCGCTGACTGATGATCTCATACAAAAAACAACAACAGAGGGATCAAATATTTATGATGCATTTGGAACAAACCCTATGTATTCGCCTCTGCAATTTCCTTTGAATGTGGAGCAGAGTGAACGAGGCAGGAGCTCTGCGCTGCTCTCTCCAGAGATGCCTGTAGACAAATGCGGGCTATATCAAAACTTCACTGAGGGAGGTGACAATGTCAGCTGCTGAACTGTGGAGGAGTGCAAACTGCAGGCGGAAAACAGAGTGTTTGAGACTGGCTGGTATTAGATCCTGGTTTAGGTTTGTCTTTTGCAGGGTTTCTCTACTGACACCTAATGGCTGTTGTGATATAAAATATTCAAAATGCTTCCACATAATTAGAGAATACATGACACATCAATCCTATCTTCACCAGGGGCTCCCTGAATAAATCCACTTCTATAAGGTCTTTGCCTCTGCCACATTCGTTTTTCACTTTCTCACTATAAATAATAAGCATCCCCTTTTCACTTTTTTCATCACACCTTTTATGCACTGCTTTATTTATAGAAAAAGAGAATAGTGCTATTTTAGCAATTACTAGCTCTCATAATAAATTATTAAATCAGTAACCAATCAAAATGTGTTTGTTTTACACCCTTAAGTCTGAGCCAATCCTAGAACGTTTAGACTGTAAAATTAAATCCAATGTTATATTCAAAAATGTGATGATTATTGGTTATTATCTATCCTATGTGAGAAATGTGTATATGCCCACAATCAAACCTTCAAACTATGTTTTAAATATATTGCAGTTGTTCTATTGCTTGTAATGTATTCTCCTTTGGTTTAACCTTTTACATCAACCACTCTATGAGTCTTAGTTGGAACAGGAACTGTATTTAAGGCCCATACAGAGCCAAGAAATAGAACATGGTGCCTGACTTTTCAAGTGAAGGTTAATTATTCAAGAATTCCCTGTCCTCACAACAAGCCAAGAACAGCAGGGTAGCTGTGTGCTAGAGCTTCTTCTTTATTCCCTTGGAGAGTATCAGAAGTTTAAAACCACTGTTTGACTATAATTGAAATGCACACGTTGTCTGAAGTCTGGCACCTTCAAGCAAGGCAGAAAGAAATATAGGACAAACATAACCTCACATACTCACTCAGTAAGCAGTGCAATCAGTGATATGATTCTAATCAGCAACAAGACTAATCTGTTCTTTGTTATTTTGATTATGCATGCATTGCGAGGGTAAATTATGTGTGTAGATTAGTTGGTTCATCTGATTAAAAATTAAAAAACATACTGGTACTAAATAATGAATATGTTGGACATGTGAGCAGCAACACAGCAAGTATAAGGTTTTCATAATTAGGTTTGTATAGTTTTAAAAATCAATTAAAAGCAATCAAAGGAGGATAAGGAGCTGAAATTGTTGTGAGACTTGCCTACAAAATAAAACAAATCTATAAAACATATAAAGGGGATATATGCAAACCTTAAACAGACAAAACTGGAGGAAAAGGAACACCTTCACTAGATTCATATGTTGACACCTCCTGTGTAAGAGTATAAAGGCCTATTTTGCCTGCTGCCGTGACATTTTCGAAACCCGATCTTTCCCCATCTTTAATAGTAAAAAAAAAAAATATTTCAACAAGGAGAAAATCAAAATTGTAGTCTTGACCGTGACCAAATAATCCCAGCTTCAGACTAGCAACTGCGGTATTCACTCAAATGAAATGAAACAGCTCACAATGTCAACAATAGGCCCCATATTGCACTTTTATCCAAAATGTGAAACAGCTAAACCATAACCACAGCACTGGTTATACCTGCACAGTTCTTATCTTTTCACACAATCAGATTTCTCAAGCAAGTGATGAAATTTCAAAATCTTTCTGGTCTCACTATTCAGGCCAGTCCACTACAGCATATGGTAGAAGCAGTAGACCTGTAGAGTTTGAATCAATTGTAAAACAGTGAAAACAACAAATTTGGTGACAGTAATGACAAATCAGAAACAATAAAATAACACAAACAAGAAACCAAAGGAACTGGTACAGTAGGAATTCATTTGACAAATGAAATTGTCCCTCATGCTGGCAAGAAACAAAGCAAAGCGACTGCATAGCAAGTTCACATTAATTATAGTAATCACAGTAACTGACGTACGTAGAGTCCAAAAGAGTAGAGATGTAACCATTATTGTGCTTTGTTCTACCGGTAAGGGTATCTCAAAAAATTAATTTCCCTCTAGCCTTGTTGTCTTAGCAACACCTAAGCCTCAGTTCAACCACAGCTAAGCTTGGTTAGCAGTAAACTGGTCGCAGCAAACTACCAGCAATCACAAAACATTTAGCTATTTATTAGCTATAATATTAGAATACGTACAGGTGTTCCAACAAGGTCATTTGGGGACTTAATAAAATATGCTTGTAGTTGCTTGGTCACAGATCACGGACAAAATGGTGGATGTAGAAATATAAACTGCAACTGCTGTTGCTGTTGCTGTGCCAATTGTGGTTGCTACTAGCAACAGATAATTCAACTGAAGCCCAGTGGCAGCACAGTGGGCATCGGGACGTCCATATGGATTTTACACTAAGGAGATCATCCCCCTTCCTTCTCTTTCCACTTCTCAAATGATTTAATATTCAAAAGTAGTTATTTCAGAACATAACTCTAAAACTCACTGTCGACATTTTTAGCTGTGAGCCTCAAGGGTAGTTGGGTGGTGCATGGAAAAATCACCTGAAACTGAACAGAAGGAAATTGTATTTCAGAATAAATAGAAGAGAGGATTTTACTCCTGATCAACACTGCTCTAACAATGCCAATACACCTTCCCTCTCATGTCCCTGATGGCAACCACATCAGCAATAATATTTCACATACCCAGTGATTTCACACAGAAACATCAGCTGAAAAAGATAACTTACTCTTATTCAAACTGCTGTTGTGCCACTAAGCACTGTCTGTGTGCAGGTTTTCCTCAAGCCAATTGAACAGCAGGTGGTTTCACAAATGTAAGCTAGTTCTCTGGTTGAAGGTGCGGTAAGGGTTTGCTTGAAATAAAAACTGGCAAACATAGCTCCACCAATTTAGAGTATATAACCGAGCTGTTAGTAACCATGTTCTGCAAGAGCACTTCCAAACAACAATGATAGCAGAGACAAGTGAAAGCTCTGCTTGCTGCTAGATAGATGATGATCATCATTACATAGATAGAGCAGCGGGGTTGAATGAGTCTGTTGCTGTAGCTGCTCTTTAGCTTGTCCAGTATTGTGTGGAGGGGGTGGGAGGGATTGTCCATGATTGCCAGCAGTTTTTGCCAGCATCCTCTCCTCCACCACTTCTCCAGGGTGGACAAGCTTAGAGCCAACAACAGACTCGGCCTTCTTAATGAGTTTGTTCAGTCTGTTGGCGTCCTTTGCCTTGATGCCCGCACCCCAGGACACCGCAGCAAAGAAGATGGTGCTCGCCACAACAGACGCTGATAGAACATTTCTGAACATCCTGTTACAGACATGAGGACCTGAGCCCTCCTCAAGGAAGTTAAAGCCGGCTCATGCCCTTCTTGTAGATGGCCTCTGAGTTTGTGGACCAGTCCAGTTTGTTGTCCAGTGTGACACCCAAGTACTTGTATAAAGTAAGTGTCATTTAGTGTCATGATTAGTGTCATACCATTGGGGATCATGAGGTCATGTCCTCTCTTAGGCTGATCCTAGTATTTTTAGATTTTATAAACTTATACCAAATATATTATATACTATTAGATGAATAAAATAAATAAACAAATACAAGATAAATAATAAAGATCAATAGGCCTATAAAGTATTTCATATTCTCCCACCAAAATGTTTCTCCTAGTGTGGAGAAAGCCTTAAAATGTAATTTTGACCTTAAGTAAGAAAATAAATTGTACAGAAAATATAAATAAACAGTTAGCTGAAAAAAAAAGTAATTTTAATAAAAAAATGTTTTAGAGCGTTTTATATATTTTACTTTATTACTGGGGGATAGGGTTGATGGTACATTAGGGGTTGCTTCTATAATCGGCTACTGCTTCGATGATTAAATGGTTTCTAGGGGATTTAACTTAGTAGCCTACACATTTTCTAAGACATCTTTCATATTTCAACTCTAAAAACTAGTCATGTCAAAAAGTTATAGGCTACTAACCACTGTGGCCAAATCTTTTTTTATAAAAATTGAGCATTATTAGAAAACACATCATTGTGGGTCTTATTACAACATATTATTGTAATATGCAAATATTTGGGATGAATAATAGACTACTGACTGCACTCGGCTGCTACATGTTTTTGCAACCATTCACTAAGGTAGATTTAGAGACTCAAGAACACTCCTTTAATAAAATTATCTCCTACTCTGCTGATGGTAGCCTTCACGCCCCGCCCACCTCTACGGCAATGTTGCATCAGAATCGCAATATCCGGGTAACGTCATCAGCCCTCACCCGGCACCCTTACTGCTCACAGTAACTTACATGCAGGCTTGCAGAAGTTATCTCCTAAAGTGAGGTAGCTTTTCATTTGTTATGGCTGACCAGACTGTCGTGAAGAAAATGAGCGAATTGCAAGTGGACGCCGGAAAAAAGGTGACACTGTAGTGTCGTGATCGGCTACATTAAAGTCGTATTGATTAGCTAGCAGGTAGCCTAGCCTGTAGTCAGATTCATGCTGTCATTTAGCCACAAGCAGTGCGGTGCTAAAGGCTAGCTACGTAGCTTTAAAGAGTAACGTTATGTTGGCTTTACTGAATATGATACTCTCAGGATAACAGAAACATTAGTTTCGTTTCTGTTTTAATCTTTTTAGCTGGTGAATTGGGCCACATTGCAGTTAAGCGAGCCCAGTCAGCTAACGTTAGTTTGATTTGGGTAACGTAGCTCTTACACGTCTTGCTCGGTGTGGTCAGGGAGAGCGCCTTACGCCAAACTCAATTCAAAATTCTGACAATTTAATGTCTCGCTGGTTATTTGTAGGCTTACACGCGTTATAGTAATAAATAGCACCTTGCATGAATCCCTTAAGCTCGCTTTTTTAAATCGGCTCGCACCCAATAGACCAAGAGGTGTTTTTTAAATATAAAGCTCTCTTGAAACTGGCTTGTACTCCCACCAATGTCTTACAATAACCTTTAGTATTAGTTACAACTTGGAGGGTCGCTGTCAGGTGGCGAACACCACTTGCATGCTGGATTTTACCCCAACACCTTTGCGAAAAGTCTTCAGTAATACTTTAACTACTGTGTGCAATATAACTACCAGTAATTCTAAAATAACTGATTTTTGTGTAGTGTTAATTTTGTTATGTTCATAATGTTAACTGTGTAAGTGCAAACATTGTGTAGGTGTGTACCCCATCTTTCCCATCTGTATGTTAATACAGTGTGTCTGAACCAGCTTTGTACTAAACTTGTATTAAATCCTCTTCTTGATAAAAGTTTATTAACCTTACGGTGTGATTTTTGCACAGGGAGGAACTGAAAGTGGTAAAGATGGAGGAAAGAAGAAGGCTAAAAGTGCTGCTGGGGACTCTGGAGGCAGGACTGAGGTGAGTTGTATATGCTTTTATTAGACATCATAATCTTGTTTTACAATAATTTAATCTTGGTGTATATCTATCTAGTATTTATGTATATCTATCATTGCGTGCCTAAATATTTAAAAGCAGCCACCCACCGGCTTATTGGTTGTTGAGGTTTATGATCAGATTTTAGCATAGTCAACCATTTAACCTGGTAGAACACATCAGCCAACCCCCATACTCCTCTTTTTTTTGTTGCTGTTCAGTTATCGCCACCACCTCAGTACATCGATGAGCGTCTGACTTTGTACACAAAGCTGAAAACTGAGCATGAAGCCCTGATGGCAGAGAGGGCTACGAATAACAGCCGAGCCATCAAGGTGACCCTGCCCGATGGAAAGGTGGTGGATGCTGAGTCCTGGAAGACAACACCGTACCAGGTGGCCTGTGGAATCAGGTCAGTGTGATGATGGGATAGCTGTAATTGTTACTTATTAAATGTGACACTTTGCTTTCATGTACTGTAGCACAAAAAAGGAAAACCTCAAGGGTTCTTTAGGAATGTAATTTCCAAAGACTAGCTGTCACAATTATTTGTACTGCCTGTAATCATTTACATAGTTTCAGAAGACTTCACAACACCCACGTTATGAAAACAGTAATTGGAAATGACACCCGCCAACCTAAGACCATCCACCAAAGACAAGAAAATAGCTGACAAAAATAACTCATTAGAGTTTAAAAAGTAGAGGAAACATTGCCTTGGGATAGTCTGAGAATAATCTCTCTACTGGCATGGTTCAACATACAATAGGTGTCAAGAGTGTGTTAATAGAGATTAAATGTGATAACCAAAGGTCACATGAGCAGACTACACAGTAAACACAGTAAAATGCTTTAGGAAATGTCAGCAGCTCTATCACCATCATTGTAGGAGTGGAAGCAAGCATTGCTTCATGTGACCTAAATGCACCAACCACAGCCCAACCTCTAGTTTCTTTATGATGCAATGAGCACATCGGTTCATACTGTTTTTAATCCTTAAGACAGTTTCTCTGGTCTCATGACCAAGGCAATTAGATTGTTTTATATTGTAATTTCAGAAGCATGGGGGGGAACTTCAAAGGTGTGGCACCATACTATAAGATGCATCCCTTTTAATTGATTTTATTATTTCATTTAATGTTATGTTAAGTCTTGTTATTAAACATTTGAAAAATACATTTTTTAAATTATATATATTATTATGTATTAAGTATTATATCAGATTTCTCTCAATAATTTCTGAAAAGAACAGCAGTTGAAATTGAAAGCTCCAGTTTTACTCACCATTATCATGCAGTCATGCACACATCTAGTTGGGTGTGTACTACCATTAACAACAGCAAGATAATCAGTATTGGAACATCTTGTAGTGATTTCAGCATTTATTTACATACGTGTTTGGATATCATTCAGACTTAATTTAATGTTATGATAAGATTTTAATTGTAGGGGTTGCCACTTTTATTCAACACTTTTATTTTGAAAATCTACACATTAAGTTGATGTGGAATATGTTCATGTTTGACATCCAGTCAAGGCCTGGCCGACAACACAGTGATTGCGAAAGTGAACAACGGTGTGTGGGACCTGGACAGACCTTTGGAGGATGACTGCAGCCTTCAGTTGCTCAAGTTTGATGATGAGGAGGCCCAAGCTGTAAGTCCAACTCATCTTTGATCTAAAACAGTGTTTGTATGTGATTGTTTTTCACCCCTACGTATAGATTAGTAGAGGATAGTTTAGTGTAATAATGTCATCCTAAACACCTTCTGGATGAACATTTGTACATTTCCTAATTTTTGAGCACCAAAAACTTAACTCTGAGGAAGCCTTGGAAAATGTTTCTGACATACTGTCAATAACATTGACATTGACACAATTGATCTGGTCATTACTCACCAGTACACAACAAGAGCAGGCTGACCTGGACATGCAAGGTTAAAGTGATGAATAAGAAGTTTACAATCAATAATACATGTGAAAGCTCTGTGATTCACCAAGTGTCTGGGCCACAAAGACATTAAGAAGAGATGTGAGAACGTAAAACACTTATGCAATCATGTACTGTCATAAAACTGGTAGCAATTGGTCTCTGAGAGAATAATGAGATGTGTTCCTAAAATAAAACTCCAATTTCAGCTTCATTGTCTATACAAGGTGCTGAATATTTTACCTGAAGAAGAGCCATTTGTCAGTTGACCTTTTTAAGCACTGAAGAGATTCCAAAGTCTGTCAATTTGCTTTTTACGGTATCATTTGTCAGTAGGTTTTATCTGCATATTTAGCAGATTTTTTGTATTGTCAGTATTCAGAAGAGGTGAATTTACACAGCTTAAGTAATTTAAATGTTCTCAAAGGCTTCAGTAAAGTCTGCAGCACAGTGAATGATTGTAACATCAGCACAAAAAATGGGGCGGCTGTGGCTCAGTGAGTCTACTAATTGGAAGGTTGGCGGTTTGATCCCCGGCTCCTTCCCGCTTCATGCCAAAGTGCCCTTGAGCCAGATACTAAAGCCCGATGCTATACGTGTGTGAATGTGAATGAATGAGTTACACAAAGGGATGGACTGCATTGCTATTTTGCTAATTAGACTGTGTTTTTTTGTATACTGCTTAGGTTTACTGGCACTCCAGTGCCCATATCTTGGGTGAAGCCATGGAGAAGGTGTATGGGGGCTGCCTCTGCTACGGTCCCCCCATTGAGAACGGCTTCTACTACGACATGTTCCTGGAGAACAATGAGTGAGTCACACAGGCTTTGGGTTCAGATTTGTCTGTATAATTAGTTTTGTTAGTCAGATCCCGGTGTTATTTTGGTGTGTACTTCAAGGCTTAGCAGCTGTCAGTCTGGTTTACTGTCTGGGACCGGTGGCAAACACAAAATAGGTGGATTGTAATGACACTAATGCTGTCAAGCTGGATTTTATTTGGGCGTGGATTTGAAATGACATCCTTCTATATCTGCCCACAGGATTGGAAGCCTAAAAGCAAATCTATTCAAAACACAGAACGAGAGCTTTGAAAGTGTGTTGAGACACCCTCAGAAAATCCGAGAAACACTTTCTTTCTCATAAACATTTTTTTCCTTTGACCTTTCCTGAAACAGACTCATTTCTCCCTGCTTCAGGCAGCAGGAGGGCATAAGGAGTGCTGTCTAATTAATTCTACAACCACCTTAATGAAGTCATTTTATGCTAATGGAATTCTTGGAAAATTTTTGCAAGGATATTTTGACATTGCTCAAGCCCCAAAGCCAAGGACTGTGTGTCCATGCTTGGCAGAGGTTATCAGTTTCTGGAAGTCAAAGAATTACATAAAAAGGTCTAGCAATATGGCTAAATGTCTGGTCACATCCATGGTGCCCTCTAGAAACGCTAGCGGACTAAATTTAGCTTTGAAGGCAGTTCGCATATTAATGCAGGACTACGTAACTCAGCCATTGTCACTGGGTGGAAAGTTCTGGTTGTGTTTATATTTTTATTTTATTTTTTTTTTTGGACAGGGGCGTATCAAGCAATGACTTCCCATGTCTGGAGAACCTGTGCAAGAAAATTATCAAGGAGAAGCAGCCATTTGAGAGACTGGAAATAAAGAAGGAAACTCTACTGGAAATGTTCAAGGTATCTGAAAACGAAAACGCATGAAAAAAATGTCATATCTTAACAGAACTCTAAAACCACTTCTTCTCTTTGACAGTACAACCCATTCAAGTGCCGCATTCTGAATGAGAAGGTTACCACTCCCACTACCACAGTTTACCGGTGAGTCCAGACCCTGTGCATGTAAGCTTATATTTTCTCATCTTCAGTAGAAACCAGTGAGCTTGGGGTTGAGTGTCACAGACACACCCAGGGAGATTGAGCATCCTTGGTTCTGGTCATTTTATGAGAGATAACAATGACTAAAATATAGTATTTTTAGCTTTATCCTAAATACAACTGGTTATCCTATTAATTTCTGCATTTCAGGTGTGGTCCCTTAATTGACTTGTGTCGGGGGCCCCATGTGAGACATACTGGGAAAATCAAGGCACTTAAGATCCACAAGGTGAGCCTTTTTGTTTCCAGTGGTGCATTATGTACAGCAAACCAGTGGTTATTCTATATGTGGATTTATTATTGATTAAACCAGGTAGGACTTTAAGCACTGTAGTCTGTGCCCTGAATGTCTGATAGTGAGCACATTTGTTCCCATTTTTAGAGCAGAGTTACCTTTATGTTTTATTCTCAAGAGATTTGATGGACCCAAAAGAATGATGAAAGCTAACATACTCCTCTTGTGGTGTGCTAGAATTCGTCTACGTACTGGGAGGGAAAGGCGGACATGGAAACCCTCCAGAGGATCTATGGAATCTCCTTCCCTGACCCCAAAATGCTCAAAGAGTGGGAGAAGTTTCAAGAGGATGCCAAGAACAGAGATCACCGCAAACTAGGCCGGGTATGAACTGAAATGTGAAGAAGCTGTGGGTTAGCAAAAGAGTTAAAGTAATTTTAGTATTGTCTTGTATGGGTTTTATTCTTAGAAAGGAAAATTATTTATGGCATGTTAGTATTTGTCTGTATAAGCAGTAAAATACTTCTGTGTAAGTGTAAGAGCCAGGATTGGGTTTGATGTGTATCTGATGTTTACCAAGTCACACCTATTTAACAAACAAGATATTCGAAGCCATTTCTAGACCGTGTGAAAACATAGGCCTGGTGCATTTGTAACAGTATAGTTGAATTTTCTGGTAAGGAACAAGGAAACAAGAAAACTTGTTAAAAAATTGAAAACACTTGACTTCATTTACAAATTGAGAAAGAAATACTGAAAAAGGCCTGATTAAAAAATTTACCTGTGAACTTTTTTGAGCTGTGAGTGATGGTAAAATTAACCCATTGCATAAGGCAGCATTCAATTAGATGCTTCACAATCTTTGGAACACTTGTTGACTGTTGACAGGGCATTTAATGGCTCGGGGTGTGTGTGTTGCCATTCATTCAGTATAATAACAGGTGTGCAAAAGTGAGCTGAGCAGGAGGCCGAGTACAATGTCAGACAAACCCTAGTTATGTGATGATACCGTTGGATTATTTCAAACTGAAACCAGTTTGGCCTGAGTGGTGGTTTTAATTTTTCATCATACTAACACACCTTTTTTTTTTTTTATTATTATTATTTAGGAGCAGGACCTGTTCTTCTTTCATGACCTGAGTCCAGGGAGCTGCTTCTTCCTGCCTAAGGGAGCCTACCTCTACAACACCCTGATCGAGTTCATCAGAGTAAGTCAAAGCTCAGACCCACAGTGGATAATTGCTGTGATTTCACTTTGACTCAAACTTGTCTTTTCTTATGTCTTAGAGTTCAGAAAGTTTAAATTTGCATGGAGACCTGGGCAGTAATAATGGCTTAATATATTCACAAGATATTTTTGCTGCAATGTAAAATCACTTCATTCGTCATATTCTAGAGTGGAGTAGGAACGGTTTGGTTATATGTTGATGATGCAGCTTAATAACCTGACTGCAGCAGATGGTTTATTCAGAACCATCTGGGAAGTGTTCATTGGAAACGGGCAGGCATTTAAAAAAGTACTTGGCAGGTGATTGGGTGAACCATCTGTCTATCACTTCTGTCAGCTTAGATTAGTCTGTTTTACCTGCAAGACACACGTTTTAATGCCTTTCTTCATCATTTGAAATGTAAAACTTTCACATCATCAGAAAAAGTGCGTGTACTGCTCATAGTTAAAATAAATAAAATCCCAATGCACCACAGAGCGTGTCTCCTGCTGGGCGGCTGACAGTGCTGTCAGCTGTAGAGTCTATTACAGTGTACGGCTGTAGGGGAGGTTGTACCACCGTCTGGTTTAAAAGTGGTTTAGCTGACTTTGCCAACTTCACTGTCATCACTAGAGCAAAGAGCGTGCAGCCTTTTCAGCTGCTTCATTGTCTGGAATCTGATAAACTAAGCGATAATGAATAAAATCTGCCTTTATAATGTTGTGGTTTCACAACTAAAACAAATTCATTTTAAAACATGAACATTGGCATGCACATACAATAAAATGCAAATGCTAATTAATATCCATACCTCTCTTCCTACAGCAATAATGCTTTAAATCGATGTTAACACATCTAATTTATGCTTACTCAATGGGAAATTTCTCATTTCTGGCCTAATAGAAAACATTCTGCTCTGTGTCTATCCTTTGAACACAAACCTACGAACCTAAAAATAGCTTATTATTGGAAGCCAATTGTTTGGAATAAATTGAAAAGTGTGAAACAGATGTGATTGACGGCATCAAATAAAAGCTCTGTTGCACCCACTCTATTATAGTCACAAAATCAATTTGATTTTAAAAAAAATTATTTACTTGGTTGTCATTCAGTGCAGTCACAATGCAGTACACATTGGGAGCAATTTCACTTTAATGTGGTAAAACAGATATCTGACTGAGAAGATTTTGAGTAATGAGATGTTTTATAAAAATAGGATTTGCAAGCAACAAAACATCTATAATATCCGATATAAATATTTGTAGGGTATATGGTATGGTATGGTCAGTATTTCAAATAAATCGCCCTATTTTATTATCACTATCAAGTATCTGTTTTTAATTTTAAAACACATAGCAGAAAAAACAGGCCAACCCAAGGTGCATTAAGCCACTTAAAAAGTAACAGCCTTTTCCTTTCAGTTAAACCTACTTTATCCCCTTCATAATGTCTAAACAAACTAGGATATGAGTATGCAGCAGCATAACACTTCTCAAAGGTAGTTTACTTTTCAGAATCTCAGCCTTTACATTGAGTTATGTATGTTTTAGAACATTTGCACTATTTATCAGTAAGTCCCCAAGTGTTGACAGAAACTGTTTTTAACCAGACGTTCGTAGTTGTGACGTGTACATAGAATTATGAAGCAGAGTTGCTTGAGGTGCCACTCACTCAGAACAAGGTATTCTCATAAAGAAGATTATAGGTAAGACTGTTCTTTCTTTCTTTGGCAGAGCGAGTACAGGAAGAGGGGTTTCCAAGAGGTGGTGACGCCCAACATCTACAACAGTAAGCTGTGGCAGACCTCGGGACACTGGCAGCACTACAGCGAGAACATGTTCTCCTTCGAGGCCGAGAAGGAGACCTTTGCCCTCAAACCCATGAACTGTCCGGGACACTGGTGAGGCCTTCCTTTCCTCACATTCAGAGTAGCTTGAAAGGTTTTGGGTTTCATTGCAGCAATGAACTAGAAAATAAGGAACATAAATTGTAAAGAAAAACCACCCACTTCTGATACACACAGTGTATCAGGTCTTGCTGTAGTGTGAAATAGAGTTGGTTCCTGCCATCAGAGAAACAACTGTTTGTTGAAGGCAGGGCAGTTTGTTTCTCCAGCATTAAATGAAAGCATGAAACGATAAAGCTTAGAATACTGTTATCACAATACAAAATGTTTGACTTTCAATATTAAGTCTAATATCCCACAAAAAAAGTCTAACAAGGACAACCATTAAGCAATGTTTTACTACACTTAAGTAGCCTTGAGAGTTTGTACAAGGGTTTTGTTATCAGTAGTTAGAATTAAAATAACTTTTCATTGCTGCAGTAGTTTGTCCTCCAGTTCAGCTCAAATTGTAATGGACTGATGCTTTTGCCATGTTTTCAGTTGTTGAATGACCCAGTTCAATTTATTACTGAATGCTGCATTGCAGTGTAAAGAGCCAGACTGCAGCTCTTTGTATTCAAATCTTTTATCTCCTTTCTACTGTTCCAATCTTTGTGCTATCCACGTGGACAGCCCCTCTGGAGAACACACTGAAATGGAAACTGAGCATGCAAACACATTTTGTCAAAATGTTGGATGTCACTTAAATCAAATATTGATTGCCTTTCATAGCAGTATTGAAGCAGTGGAGCAATTTTCAGTTATTGTGATAATTTGAAGTTGGCAGTTGTAATTTGTGTGTTTTTCACACTCTTCCTTTGCTGTCTGTTTGTCTTCAGTCTTATGTTTGATCACCGGCCACGCTCCTGGAGAGAGTTGCCTCTTCGCATGGCAGACTTTGGCGTCCTGCACAGGAACGAGCTATCAGGAGCCCTGACTGGCCTCACCCGCGTCCGCCGCTTCCAGCAGGATGACGCTCATATCTTCTGCTCCATGGACCAGGTGAGACCCACACTGATTCATTAACATGACTCAGCCAAATTTAAACACCCACACTTTGGAGCCATTGGATCTGATGGAAAACATTGCCTGATGGGACCAGTAAATTTGACTTAAAGGGCAACTCGACCAATTTTAAACTAAGTTGTTCAAAAATCTTGAACTACTATATATGTGAAAAGGTTATAGAAAGAAGTTTGTGGCTGCACATGAAGTTCAGTTACTTGAGGCAGCATTGGTTGCGGCCGTAACCTACAAGTTTTGAAATGACCTCTGCAGCCCACTCGTCATATCTGCTTTAGGCTAGTGGCTCGGGACTACATTAGCCGCTACTGGCATAAAACACCCAAAATCTCAGCAGTTGAGTTGCATTGTGTGTAATTACCGTATTTTCCGGACTATAAGTCGCTCCGGAGTATAAGTCGCATCAGTCAAAA